TAGTATTTTTTTTTGTGGCAGCCACAGATATATCAATTGCTTGCTTGCCCTGCTTTCAAGATTTGAATCATCAGCAGATGAGTTGTATTTATTTTCGCTTCCTTCCTTACCTCCACACGCGTTGTCCTCTTCTACTTTCGTTGCTATCAACCCCAAAGCTTGATTTGTGACTGTGTTGACGCTATCATTGCCACAAATCTAGCCAAATTGCTTGTGACAGCAGCGGCAGCGCGTGATTTGTCAGGGTGAGGGTCGTAAAGGAGAGCGCTGCCAGCGCTAAATATTGTCAGCTAAGCAGTGTCTCTGGTGGCGTTGATAATTGCCTGTGTAGTTGTGCAAGCGCACGCTTGGATGCGTCACGCACGCACTGACAGCTGACAACTGACACTTGTCAAGCGCTGACACATACAAGTCACTTACACGTCGATACGGCGGGGGTGAGTGAATGCGCTTGTGTGTTATGAATTGGGGAGCAGAGCGAGTTGAAAGTTATTTCAAGCAGAAAATCCAAATTTTTTTTGGTTCAAAATATTTTGAAATTTAAAAAACTTCTTTTTTTGATTCTGAAAATTTCCATAAATAAATTAAATGGCAATCTTAAAATTTTATCACCCAAAACTATATCGTAGAATTTAAAATATATTTTTGAAAATTTTTAAATACTTTCTTTCAATAATTTAAATAAATTCTTTTAATTCCGAAAACCACTTTTTTTACGCAAAATTATACAACTCACAATATTTTATTTTAAACAATTTTATATGAAAGGTTTTGCTATTGAAATTACAAGGAATTTGTTTAAATTTTTTATAAACACTGTTTTACCATTTTTTAAAACCTTTTTTTAAATTTTTTTACATTTCGTTTAATTAAGAGAAAAAATATTCTTGTTAAAAATTAAACTTTGAATTGAATTACGTGATTGAAAACTAATCCAAAAAAAGTTTTGATTAAATGTGTTTTTTTTTTTAATTTTGTTTAATTAGAAATAAGAAGTATTTTTATTAAAAACAAATTATTGAGTTCAATTAATTAATTGAAAAACATTTTAAATATATTTGTGAAATTACAAAAGAAAAAAAAAACGAAAATTTAAATATTTTGAAAATTAGAACTTTTTTTTTTTGATTAAGCTCAAACTACAACTTTTTTAAAAGTTTGGTAAGTGGAAAAAAGTTTAGATTTTAGTTTTAAATAAAAATTTTTATTTGTTTTGTTTTAATTTTTTTTTAATAAGAAAATAATTTTTTTTATTTAAAGAATAAAGAATTAAATTTATTATTTTTCTTAAACATAAGAAATATTTGAAAACTATGTTTGAAAGTGGAAAAAAACATTTAAAAAAATATTTTTAAAAAAATTTGTATTTAAATTAATTGAAAGCCATTTTAAATATATTTAAAAAGTTATAATAAAAAAAAAATAAAAAAACGAAAATTTAAATATATTGAAAATTCAAATATTTTTCGTTTAAATATTTTGAAAATTAAAATAAAATTTTTTTTAAATAAAAATTTTTATTTGTTTTGTTTTCAATTTTTTTTTATTAGAAAATATTTTTTTTATTTAAAGAATAAATAATTAAATTTATTATTTGCCTTATATATAAGAAATATTTTTGAAAACTATGTTTGAAATTGGGAAAAAACATTTTAAAAAATATTTAAAAAAAATGTATTTAATTTTTTTTAAATAAAATTATAGAATGAACAATTTGTTGAACTTTCTGCTCATTTTTGCACGTTTCCTCAAAATGCGCTAATTCACTAATCCTTATGATAGATAACATATAAAAATCTTGAATCACTTCAAGCAGGCTGCATTGACCCAAAAAACAATTATACAAATAATATTAACGAACAACAACAAAAAATTTCTGATTTTCCACTCCCACCAGCTTTTTACTTTCTTATTATCCTTCGGCAGCGAATCAGTCAACTAAGGAATGCTGCCTGTGTGTATGTGTGTGTTTGAGTGACAGGAAGCGGAAATCCATGTTGATTGATTGATTTTAATTTCCTGCCACAACAAACATGCACAATTGCAAATTTGACTTTTTGATTTTGCACACACAAACATATATTATGTATATATTTATAAGTAAGGAAATTTGTCTGCAACGGTATCATCTCATCAAAGCCACACACTCGAGAGCGAAATGCGTACGAAGGGAAGAACCCCGAGTGACGGAAGCAGCGGCTGTGTGTCAGCAAGTTTTGGATGGGTGGGCGGTCAGTTAGTCCGTCAGTTGCGCACACAAACAAACAGCCGCAGTGACAGTAGTAATTTGTGGTGGAAAAAATCTCGGAAGCAGTGAAATGTATGACAGCTAGCTTAAGTCCTGAGGTCCTGCCGGACGCAGGATATAGAAACGCATGTCAGTAAGTGTGCTTGTGCTCTGACTTCGGACGCCGTCACGCTAACAATTTGACTGGTGTAACGGTGATATGCTCACCAGCTGAAAGCTCAGTCAATCACTCAGTCACAGCGAATTAGTGAGCAGTCGGATCATCGCATATGTTAGTTAGGTGGATATGCTGTGGTTGTGTTGTTATTTTAATTTTTTGTTTTTTGGATACCGAGGTGTGCGTGTAAGCGATACTATAAGGAATAGTAAGGCAGTACGCTGAGCAGGAGTGTGACAAAGTCAGAGGAAGGAAAGCTATTATTGAAAGTTTTTTATAAAAATATTTATAGTTTGGTACAGAAATTAAAAGAAAATCAAAAAAACGGAAAATGATAAGATTAAAAAACTTTTTAAGTTAAAAAAAAATGTGCTGAAATTTTTATTTAAAAAAAATATGTATACGGACAGAATATTTAGCTTCAAAACACAGAAAAGCAACAATTTTAAAGTAAAAATGTTTTAGATAGATTGTATTTTAAAAATTTTAATTTTTTAAGTAAGTAAAATACTATTTTTTAAGTTAATTTACAATAAATTTTTTTTTAAATTTAATTTCATTTTATATATATATATTTTTTAATGCATTTAAATTTTTCTAATATTTTTTATGTTTATTTTTAAATAATTTTTTATTTGTGTTTTTTTTTTAATATATTAGAAAAATTTTCAAATATTTGTTTACATGTTTAATTTAATAATTTAAATTATTTATTAGAACCTTTTTTTGATTAAATTTTTTTTTTCAAAATTTTTTTTTCAAAATAATAAAATTTTATTTTGAAAAAAAAATTTAATTACATTTTTAAATAAATTTTAAGTTTTCTGGTATTTTTTTATGTGTTTAATTTAAAAATTTGAGTTATTTATTATTTTTTTAATTACTCTTTAAATTAATTTTTATATATTTTAAAGTTAATTTTTATTCATTTTTAAATCCGTTAATTTTTAAAATATTGTTTACAAATTTTTATTTGCTTTTATTTAATTATTTTTATGAAAAACGTATATGAAAATTTTTATATTATATAAATTATTTCAACTGAAAAAAATGTACAGAAATTTATAGCAGAAATGATTTTAAAATATGTGTTTATTACCTAAAAATAATATATAATATTTGGCGCATACCAATCTAAATTCCTTCAATATTAAAAATATTTTACGTTTGCACTAGTTTATGTTGTAATTAATGTTGAAATTAATTCATAAATGTGTTGAGAATTACGAGCTTTCATAACAAATAAACGAAATCGAACAACTATAAATTCACTTAGGTATTCCCGACAATTTCATTTTATTACAATCGCATATACTCCATAATGTTTCTTCTGTTTTATATCTTTCCGTTTTATTCCATTTCATTTCCAACTATTCTTCATGTTTCTCCCTTTTCTAACTCCTTCTAAAGGTCCCTATTCGAGATGCAGTTAAAGTCTAGTCTAATCTAATTTCATATTCCACACGATTTCCCTTTATGCACTCCATTTCAGGCTTTCTTTCTTATTTCGTTTCATTCTTTCCATTTTGGTTCTACGAACTCTGGTACATCAGTTTCATTATTTTCAATGCTTCATTAAAACTTGCCATTTGATTCATAAAAAATACTTTTAAAATCTTCAAAAATATTATTTCATTCAAATAGTTGCCAATTGTTGTCATTTCGTTCCGCTGTGTGCTATTCCCAGCCGTTCCAATTAATTTACATTGCAAGCCTCAAATAAAAGTACTATGCTTTCAGTTTCTCTTCCTCACTCTCTCTCTCTCTCTCGCTCACTCTCTTTAACCTAACCGCTCTCCCCGCTCGCACCATTGTCATCATTGTGGGCGTGCCATCAGCTGTCAACTGTCATGATTTTCGATTTCATCGCATACAAAAATGACAACTCAATAAACATTGGTAACGCCTCAAAGCTCAAACACAGATTTCGCGTGCCAGGTTGTCAAGCAGACAGACAGGCAGACTACCGTTGTAACTACAAGTATAACGAAAAAAATCGTCAACGCGGCAGCAAACAGCCGACAGCCAGTCAAACTCGCCACGTTGGCCCAAAGTTGACGCCCACTTTTACATAAATTCACATAAATATCAATGGAGGTATTAAGAAATTGGCGTGGATGTATCATTTACAGTAGCGCAGCGTGTGACGCGGCGAGAGCGCAAACAACCGAAGACACTTGGCGTGGCGTGCCGCGTAAATGAGCAATCATCGTGGCTGTTGTTGTCATTCGATTTCACCCAAATTGTAACCGCTACTTGTTAGTGCTTTGAAAGCACTATTAAACTACTGCAACTCGTCTTCACTTCCTCGTGTGGAGCAGCGTCCAGGGGTGCATGAAGGCGCCTGTCATTTCGTCACTGACAAGCGCAGCGTCGCACTCAAACTTGCAATGTCATTGCTTTGACAGCGCAGTTAATGGAAAAGTCAGTTCGTATGCTTAGCTGAGGCGGTCGCCTGAGTAAGGGGCGTAGTTTTAAAGAAATTTCGTCATATGTTCGGTATTTCTGGCAACTCAATTTGTGGTGGAATAACTTTTACTCAAATATTTATTTGTTTGTGGTTAATTTTGTAGAAAAAACTTTAGTGATACTTACTTCTTTTCCCGCTTGCCAGCGCCGGTATCACGAAAGCCCTTCGCAAAGGGATTGTTATCGATTTTTAATTGAGTAATCTGTAAGAAGGAGATAGAGAGAGGGTTGGGTTATTAAGGTTTAGTCACGATTTGATAAATTTCAGTATAAATAATTTTATTTCAAAGGGTCTTAAGAAAAATGTATTTTTTAGGTTATATTCCTTTAAGTTAAGTTTCCTTATGTTACAGTTAGGTTATGTTTAAGTTAAGTTTTCTTATGTTACAATTATGTTGCGCTAAGTTAAGTTTTCACATTTTGTCGATATTTATTATTTTCATAAAATTTTAGAATATATTTTTAAATTTTTTTTCTCATGAAAATTTAAAATATATTTAATTGTTTTATATAATAAAAATTTTGAATATATTTTTGTTAATTTTCAATTGTTTCTTGCTTTGAATAGTTTTCCTGAAACTAAAAACATTTTTTATTACATTATTGTCATAAAATATTAAAGTATTTTTTATTAATTTTTTTTTACTCTCTTTTATATTAATTTGGTCGTAAAACGTTAAAAACTTTTTTTGCTTTCAATTATTTATAACTAATCTTATTTTTTGGGTTTATGTTAATATTTTCTTAAAATTTTTAAATAAAATTGGTTTGTCATTAAAAATTTATATATTATACATATTCTAAATTTTTTAATAACCTTTTTCTATATTTTGTTTTTTGGTCATAAAAATTTAAAAATATTTTTTTTTTTTTGCGAATTCGGATAATTTTTTCCTTTAAAAGCAACAATATTTTTGATATTTTTTTATTTTTTTATATATTGAAAACTTATTATAGCTTTTACTTGCTATAACTTAAATATTTTCTCTCTTACCTTCTCATTTTGATATGCTGTAACGGCTATAAATTCCGTCTCCTTGAAAACATACGTTCGAAATGTTGAGTACGGCAGCTTGAGTATGTCATTGGCTCGCACCAAGTGGAAACGTGGCTGGTATTTATGCATTGAATTGAGTATCGTCTGGAATGAAGAGAAAGTATATATAAAATTAGTACTTTTCGAAACCATTTCAAGCAGAAAAAATTCTTGTAAAAAAATTGCAAGTGAATGTTTGAAAGAAATTATATCATCAGAGAAAGCTTTAAAAAGTATTAAAACGCAATTTAAAAAACAATTTAAAAATTAAAGCCACTCGAAATATGAAAAAAAAATATTTTTGTATTTTTTTTTTAATTATGATATGATAAAAAAAAAATATATATTATTTTTTTTTAAGTATGATAACCCGAAATTTGTAAAAAAAAATTATAAAAATGAATTTAAAAATGAAAAAAAATATTAATTCATAAAAATTAATAAAAAAATTAAAAAAAAAAAATATATAAAATTTAATATGTTTACATTACAAAATGAGAAGAAAAATTATAGAAAAATTTATGGAATTAAAAAAAAGTAATTAAAATTTTTGAATTAAATTTGTTTTTGTAAAAAAAAATTTGTTTTTAAAAAAAAATTTATTTTAATTTTTGTTTTAATTCAGTTCCAAAATTTTAATATTTTAAGAATATTTTTCAATTCACCATAATTTTTTTTTTAAGTTTTTGCAGAATTTGTTTTTTTATGTTCATTAAAAAATTTTAAATTCAAATTAATAAAAATGTTCAGTAAATTTCAAAAAATATTGATTCCCGTTATCTGCTGAATTTCTCTCTCTCTCTTTCATACTTCCATAGCCAGGTTAATATATATCTTTACTGATGCCAGTTGACAAGCGCAATGAATTGCCAATTATTTACAACCGTTAGGCGGCAAAAATGTTCACATTCTTCAGTCACAGCCATTTTGATAAATAATCGCATGTGCCATATGAATTTAGTATGTGATATTAGAACGAGTTTATGCAAAAGCGTACGAGTTGGAGTTGGTTGCTTGCATGCCACATTTAGTGTTGCATGCAATTGTAGATATGCATATAAAGTCATATATGCATATGCAGCCGTAAGTTTTCGCTTCTTGTTGTTGTAATGTTACGGCGACACCTTAATGCCAAAATTATTCAGCTACCGACTAAATCATTAGTTAGTCGCAGAAATTTTCGCTTTAGCAAAAAAATGTATTAAAAGAGCAACAACAATTTTTTTTAATTCTATGAATTGGTATAAGCGCTTGTTGTTTAGACTATATTTGTTTTTGCCACTCTAAATGTTTTATACCAGTTGTTTGTTCGTTTCGCCACTCTCTTAAGTCGTTAGTTCATTTCGCTACACTACAAAATTTGATAAAGTGACGTCAACTGGTGTAAATATTCCTTTAAAGTGGTCTAAATGCTACCACAACGTATTTATATTAGTGTTTAATTGATTATACCAATTTATACGGTTTATGCTAGTTGTATATTTTTGTTTAAAATTTTAACAAACCACATATATATATATATACTACCTTTAAGTGTTATAACCGCTTGCTTTTCTAGCACTATTTGTTTATACCACTGTCATAGTTTTATACCAGTCGTTTAATCGATTCGCTACTCTCCAAAACTTGACAAATCGGAGACAGCTAATTTAAATACTGCTTAGAAGTGGTATACAGTCATAATATGTTTATTTAAGTTTTATACCAGTTTATTTTTTTAGTTTCGTTAGTTTGTAAAACTTTAGTTGCTACTTCAAAATAAACATTTAAGAGGCTGTCAATTTTGCTGTAATTTATTTAACCATTTTATAAGCTTTATGCCAGTTGTCTGTTCGTTTTGCTACTCTCCCAGATTTGGTATAACTAGCATTAGCCAAGCTAAATAAATATGCATTCTGACCTACACATATTTATTTGGCCTAAAAGCTCTCTTGCCTGCCTTTTCTTCGCTCTCGCTCTGTTTTCTCTCTTTCACTCACTGTCAAACGCCATATTTATATTTATTCATACATTTCGTATGCACTCGACACAAATCTTTCAATCTACTTTGCTGTCGCCATTCGACATTTTTGCTGTCAATTTTAATTTTAATTACACAACTTTATCGTTTTTACCTTTTTTAAAATAAAGCTACAAAAATCGAGTGGCGTTTTGTCCACGCTGAACAACAACATGTTTGTGTTTGCATATAAAAATGACAAATATGGCAACACTGTCACAGGCAAAAATTATTTCATTTTCATTTCAATAGTTGTTTCATTTTATTACACGTTTTTGTTGTTGAATTGCATGTTGTTGCCGCCAGTTTAAGTAATTAATGCAATAACAATGTTAACAACGGTGATAATAACAACAAGAATTGCAAAAAAAGCAGTTGCACATTGACATACAGTCAAGCAATAAAGGCGAATAATTGTCATTTAAATGTGGAAATAAAAACTATTTATGCGAGCAAATGGCAAAAATGTATTGCTTAGTTGTTCTACAACAATAAAAAAACAGTTGTAAGAAAAGTAATAAAAATGTCGGTTACAAATGTTCAAATCGCGCAATAATATTAATAATAGTTGACAACCAATGAGATAAATGCTTATAGCTATTTAAATTCAAAGATCATGGCTGGCACTGAGGGCTGTTTTTTTATACAAAAAGGAAAAGTTTAAAAAAGTTTAATTAAAAAAAAAAAATTTACTTATTATATAAATTCTACTAAATGCACTTTTTTCATGAAGCACTGTCGTTTGTGTGCATTACTGTAGAAACATGTTACATATTAGACTCCAAATTTATTATAAAATAGTTAAAAAAAGCTTTACGCCCATTGAGCTTTCATGAAATAAAAAAATTGAAGATTGACTTGTTAATGGTGTTCTTTTTGGCATTGTAAAAAAAATATTAAAATATAAATTTGTTTTGAATAAGCTCAAAGAATATTCAGGCTCAATGAGCTTTTATAAAATTAAAATACATTTTTGAAAAGAGGTCTAATTTTCGCGCTTTTGGCGTGCTGTTGTTTGTTATAAAAAACATTAGAGCATAAATATATTGCAAAAAGCTTACGAAAGCTTTACTGAACTCGCACTTAAGCGTTTATAATGCACGCTAATAAACCTAAAAATGTCGACCTTGAAGCTTAGAATCTAGCTTGAACAAGCTTTTAATGGCATCTATCAACTTTTTTGCGTCTAGTAATTATGGAAGAGGCTTACAACTTATGCTATTTTATACTGGTTTAATTTACTTGGCTTATAACTTTAGCAGGCTTTCGCAAGCTTTAAGAAAAACTTACATGAGCTTTTTGAAAGCTTTAATGCACTTTTTATAAACTTTAGCAAGTTTTTCAGAATTATTGTCGTATTTTTTTAAATGAAAATTTTGTTGATGAACTATAGCTAGTAACTCAATAGTGCTTTTAGTGAGAAAAAGCTTTTTGTTGAATTTTTTTTAATTAGCTATTTTTACTGTTTAGAAATTTTGGAGAAATTATATACATATATATGTATATATTTTTAATACTTTAACTCGATTTAAAAGCTTAAAGGTGTGCAAGCAACCTTTAAGTTTCAGGTCTAACTAAATCACCTTAGTGACCTAAATGCTAAATGTAGTACTACAATACTTATAAGTTACTGTCATACTTCAGCTGACCTTAGCAGCTTTAAAGCTTTCTAAACAGACTTAATGTTCAGACTTAACTGAATTACCTTAGTGACTCACCGAAACTCAATCGCAACACACAAGACTTAAAACGAAAATTAGTTGAGCGTAAGCGCTCAACATTGCCAAAAAAGGATGGCGCTACAGACTAAAACAAATGAACAAATAACAAGCAGCAGTGAGCCTTAACAGCAAAGGTTAATCATCGGTCTGATCGATTTGTCTTAATTTGCAAAACGCTTTTGCTCTCTTTGTGTACATAAACAAATCGTGTTCGCCGGACCGCACCGTTTTTGGTAAGACGTGTCGCGTACAAATGTGCTTATTGCAAACCTATGTGGTTTTTGTTATTTGCTGTAGTAGTTGTTGTTGCGACAGCAACACGAACGCTTCATATGGCTGTGTATAAGAATTTTTGGTTGTTGGCGCCTTGTTTGGCATTTGATTTCAATAAATCACCAGGCAAATTAGAATCACCAACGGACGCGGCAACAACAACTGCAACAACGGCGACGCCAACGCCAACATCATCGCCAGCATACACATCATCAGCATCATCAGCGCCGTCGTCGTCGGGACCGCCCAACACTCAACACGCTTGTTAATCATATACGAAACGAGCTAACAACTGGACGGACAAGCGCACAAGACAGACGGCAAGCATGCAACATGCGCACACACACGTATAAAACACTGAGGCTGCTGAGCTGGCGCTCTGGCATTGGCTTACTGACTCTGCTGTTTGTGTTCAGAGTCGCGACTCATCAGCATGTTGCATACACAAATATAACCATATAACTACCTACAACAACAAGAAAAACCAACAGTTGTATTTAACTAGTGTTGCAGCGCGCTGCCTGTGAGCAATCGGTAGTAAGTAGTTGATAAAGCAAACAAGCTCTCGAAATCCAACGCTACTTGAGTGCTTGTCTGCGTGTGTGTGTGCGCACGCCTGGCGCCAACAAATCATCAGCGAAATCGCGCACACCACGGCTAACCGGCAATTATCCTGACGTATCGTGTACTCTAAGGAGGCGCGCTGTCGGTTCTCAGGCTAATAAATATAAATATATGTGTGTATGTATGTATGTATTTTAGTGTTATTGCTGAGAGGTGCGGTCAGCAGACTGTGGTTAGTAGTTGGAGGTAGGGAATCCCGAGTGAAAAAGCTCAAGTGTGAGTGAAGAGAACTTGTAAAAATTATATATTTGTAATAAAGACTTAGCATCCTGTTAAACAAAAATTACAACTCTCTCGTTCAATAAGTTACAATAGCTTTTTTATAGCTTTTAAAAAAGCTAACTATCAAAACTTTTAGATTTCTTACAATTTCATAAGATAAGTAAGATAAATGTAAATTACTATTACAATAGCTTTTCAAAGCTTTTTATAAAGCTTCGCCACCCACAAAAATTGAAGCCCTTTTACAATTTCATAGAATTAGTAAA